CCTTTATGAATGACCAAATGACTTATGACAAGTCATGTAAGTCATATGTCATATGACCAGTCATTTGCCAACACTGACTATAAGCAATTAATGATTATAGATGATCTGCACTGTATTTCAACTAACAAATTAGCATTAAATCCTAATTCTGGTAACAATAAGGAATAATTTTTTCTTCTTCTAAATCATTTTCAGATTCAATTTTTAAAATATTTTCTAAATAAAATTTTTTAAATTCTTTATACACAGATATAAATCTTTTATCAGTAGGAAGATAAATAAATGCTCCAGAATCATTTCTATGCCTCATTGGTGAAGGTAATCCATGTAATAAAGAATATTGATTTAGAAAATTTTTTACAATGAATTTTAAATTTTCATCAATATTGACTTTAGTTTTATATATAGGAGCTCTTCCTGTGTTTCCATGAATTCATTCATTTATTCCTTCATTGTGTAATGTTCTACAATGTTTTTAAATTTATGATTGCTTATATAACATTAAAAATGCTGTTTGGCAAAGAGAGTATGTTGAATTAAAGCAAATTTATAATTTGTTCTCTGAATAATTTTCTCAGAAGACTTTAAATTTTTATTTTCTATTTCCATTGCTAAAAGTTGTGCTTTCAAAAATAAATCTAATTCTTTTTTAGTTAAATTAACAATTTGAAAATGTCTTTGAAAAAAATTTTTAAATCCAATTTTTTCAAAGCAAGTTCTAATGTCTTTTTGTTTTTCAAGATCATTCATTGTGTAATGTTCTACAATGTTTTTAAATTTATGATTGCTTATATAACATTAAAAATGCTGTTTGGCAAAGAGAGTATGTTGAATTAAAGCAAATTTATAATTTGTTCTCTGAATAATTTTCTCAGAAGACTTTAAATTTTTATTTTCTATTTCCATTGCTAAAAGTTGTGCTTTCAAAAATAAATCTAATTCTTTTTTAGTTAAATTAACAATTTGAAAATGTCTTTGAAAAAAATTTTTAAATCCAATTTTTTCAAAGCAAGTTCTAATGTCTTTTTGTTTTTCAAGATCATGGCAAGTACAACTTGTTGGATGTTCAAAAAAAAATTTTTAAATCATGAATAATTTCTTGAATATTTTCATAATCATCATATTCTTCTAAACCAAGTTCAAATAAATTATAAAAATATTGAGAAGCTTCTTGACTAGTTGTCATGTTTAATTATTTTAATTATTGTAAATAAAAAAATTTTTTTTATATGGGACAAAAAAGGGGTTAGTAATTTATCTTTAGAGTCAAAAATCAGGGGAGAAAAACAAAAATCAGCTGATTTCTCAAAAACCTCTTTTTTCCCAAAGGACCTTTTTGCTAGCATGGAACCCATAACTTAATAATAAAATACAAACATAAAATATCTATTAACAGCCTTGTGACACAATAATAAGAACAATGAATTTTCCTGCATTCTGAAAATCCAGGGATAGAAGAATATGAAGGAGAGAGCAAATTAGCAAATGAATATATGTAAGTATTCCCTATTTTTTAATTCGAACAATTGTATATAATTTCAAAATGATGTACAGTTCACTCTCCCTATATATATATAATGAACTTTCCATTCCTATATGATTCTGTCTGGTACCAAGTGAATAAAAAAATCCTGATGGTTACATTATTCACAAAAGATTTTGAACCAATTAAATACTCAGTAAGTTTATCATCATTAATATTGTCACAACAATCATAATCTGATCCAAAACCAGAGTTATCATCACCATTACCATCTGTGCCTGAACAATCATCACTACAACACCTGAATGACAATCATCAAATGTTGCTCATAAAATATCACTTAGTTTGACATTAAACTCTTCATCGGCTCCTCTTACCATCATCAGGATAGTTATTAAACAATAATCCTGAAACTTTGATACCAAAAGAACAATTATCACCAATAAATAAAATCAGTCATAATGAAGGACCTGAAACAATCACTAACCAAAGATGTTATCAAATTATTTCTGAATATATCAAGAAGGTAACAAATTCCAAGATAATAATACATCAAAATTATTAAAAATATCAAAACCAGCTAAATCAAGCATACATAAAATAAATGAAAAAAAATAAATCAAAACCAAATATTAAAACACAAAAATTACTAAAACACATCTGTAATCATAATAAAAACAATGATATTTATTTTTAAGGTAATATACAATTTATTAAATTATGATCTATATTATTTATTATTTAGTACAAGGTGCTTGTTTATTACAGATTAAGATTATGTTGATGAATCATCAAACAAAAATATGGATTTGACAGATATTTTCATCAAAGTTTTTTCTTAATTATTTGATCATATAAATATTTTTTATATTTTATAAATAAATTTTAAGGAATGTTGATTCAAGAGATATTTTCAAAACATTTTTTATCAAATTTTTTTTCTTAATTTTTTGATCATATAATTATTCTTTATATTTTGTAAATCATATCATATAACCTGAAATTTTCCATGGGAACAAAAATAAGATTGGAATGTTGATATGGGAGATATCTTTTTTTATATTTTGTAAAAGATTTTTAATCATATCAGTAAGTAATAGTTTATACCTACTTAATTAGACTGTTATCTACTTATGACTAGATTGTTGCCTATTTATGATTAGACTGTTACCTACATATGATTGGATATATCTATCAATATAATAAAATCCCAGAAATACACATGTAAAGTAAACACAGCATAGTGGAAGTTTGTTGTTACACGAATGTTATACAGAACCCATTGCTCCTGAAACTTCACCAGTATATAGTTGTTACCTATCTAAATTGGAGATCAAGTTCAGGTCCAATTCATAAATTTTCTAAATGATAAATCAAATAATTTATTTTAATGTAAAATGTTCTCAAAAAATTTTTATAGAAAATTTTACCCCATTATCAACATAATTATTTTCATAAACCCAGTGACATTCTTCAAGAATTTCTTGTCTCACTAATATTCCTTCAACTGCAGAAAAAATATCTTGATAATAAAAATCATATGATTTGCCTTTAATTGTTATTTCTTCTTTTTTAAATATTGATTTATTTTTCTCCTTCTTGTCAAATTGATTGATAACAACAGAAGTAAATTTAAATTTGGAATATATTTTTAATATATTTTAAAATAGCATCTCACTTTTTTGAGAAATATTATTTTAGAAATCTAAAAAAAAAACTCTGAATTAGTTTGGCTTAAACAATAATTTAATTCTTTAACATTCACTAATTGAACAAAATCAGATATTAAATATATTTTTCATGTTGTGGCACCAAAATAGGATTTGTTGATTTATAAATCATGCCTTCTTCAGTTGTATCATTTATATCATTCATATCTTCTTCACTCAACTTATCATATTCTTCATCCAATTCATCTTCTTTGCTCAACTCATCTTTGTTCAGATCACCATTTTGACTCATATCATTTTTTCACTACTAAAATCAATTTCCATATAATATTGATTTTCTTTAGTATAATGTTTACCATAATTCATTTTTTTTTATTGAAAACCTTGCCACACATGCATTTGTACATTTTGAATTTTTAATAAGATTTAATATTCAAATGATTTTCAACCTATGAATAAATTTGTTTTATATCATAATTCAACAGTCACTTGTGATAAATTTAATTTATGCATAAATTTCACAATACCATGCATGCAAAACCTTTATATTGTGAGTGACTCGTGTTTTTTTTTCTATTTTCCAACTTCTAGATCAATTTGCATGAGAAGAGAAAATTTATAATTTTTGTATTATATAATTCTTTATTCATCCCCGGGACACATAATTTAGGAATTTTTATAATCCTATTTTATTTTATCATTACCATTGTTGCTTGCTTGTGTCAAGTGGTTTTACTTACGTCAAATCGTCAAATTGGAAACTACCTTTAGTCAATACTTTCAATGACTAAAAAGTTTTGCCATACATCATTAGGTCCCACACCAATAAGTTAATTCAACATAAAAAACATAATATTTATCAAAATTGCACTGGTGGAAAACCACCTTTAGTTGACACTTTAGTTATCATTAGGTTGGATGCAGTGTGTTAATTGAATAGGTTTTTGTCAATTTTAATTTTACTATAAATTTCTGCACATCAATCGGTGAGTGAATCACGAATTGATAATAGACTTGCACTATAATAATTAAAATATTATCATCTAATCCAAATGGGTTAGTGCGGTGTCCTTGTTTACATACGAAAACTTGATCGCAACACCACATAATAGAGAACTTGATGAATATTCCGCTCCAAGCGAACTGGATATTAAATAAATGATTGGTGAATAATCAATCGGGCTAAAATTTTAACTTGACCGATTATCCAGTTGCTAATTTTTAATTTGACCGATTATCGATTATCCGAGAAATAAATTTAGGTGCAACCACCACTACTACTATTACTATGTGCTGAATAGAATCGGTCCGGATTTCATTGATTCGTTCAGAACCTTTACCTATAAATACATGGACGTTGACCCTGATAAGCGACCAATCGCAGAAGAAATTTATAAAAAGTTACTAGTATTTGACATTTGATGAAGTGGATAACGTCAAGTTTAATCCTTCAATGATTACAATAACTATAAATTCTCCTCAATCTGTAAATTCCAACTATCATTAGTAATGATGGTGGTAATTATGCAGATTAAGCCAATCAACACTTAGACGACTCAACAACTAAGAAAAGAAATTTTTTATATATCAAATAAATTTATTTAGATAATAATAGTAATATACAATCATTTCTATCAAACCTTTGAATTTTCCATTTAAAAAATGTACATTATGGAAATTGTTTGTTTTGTATTATTTATTATGAATCAACCTGTAAATTATTTAATTTAACGGTACACTATTGTCATCATCGTTATTATTACTATATATATACTCACTAATAATGGTTCGCCATTATTATCCCTTAAACGGTTAATTAGCTATTGATAGCCGATAAAAATTTTTCTGATATAAAGTTTTCTCTAAGTATATCACTTCCCAATATGAAAATGATATCTAAGATATAGCCGATCGGTCTGTCGGGCGTTGTCCTTATGGTTTTGTATAACTTTCTTTAAAAGTTGGTCGATTGACTATTTTTACTTTGCTGATCGTTAAATTGACCAATAAGAATGCGAGATCGTCACCATTAAAGAATACTCTGACCGTTTAAGGGATAATACTATTAGTTAAACTATTACTACCATTGTCTTCAATACAATTTATATTTACATTTTTCCAAAAATATATTTTTAGTACTAGATAAAGGGGCAATGGGAACCGTATCTGTATAAATCATGATAACGAAAGGAATGTAAAATAAAGAAAGAATTGCTAACTAAAAAGATTAATCAATCAATTTCTCGCGCCTAACCAATCATTGAGCAAATTTATCTAAAAGAGGCTAGTAATTCAACGGTGTCTATTGTAGCATAACAAACAATGAGTCAGCAACATTAAAAGGAAGCAGAGCATAAAGATCCTTGAAGAGTGGGGAATTGTGACTCAATTTCCTGATATTAAATAATTACCAAGCTCCAAGTCAAAAATCATCGAGCTATACAAAAAACTAATTTTGACGCAGCAATTTTGTTGTTGAAAGTAAAAAAAAAAATTTAAATTAAAAGGCTTGGGTTGTTCTATATGTAAATCTTTTTTTTTCTTGACAGTCATCTTTGTACCAGTACCGATGAAATTGTGTGTATGTAAATAAAAGCGATCCATGACGTGATTATTCCATTTATGAGAAAATATTATCCGATTATCCTGATTATAAGTTATATATGACAGATCCAAAAACTAGTACAAATTTGGAACTGTCCATCAACGCTCATCGGTCTGTCACTGAATTTAGTAATCAGCCCCCCAATTGAATTAATGAATTGGAAAACGTAGTAGATGATAGTTGGACATTCATCCCTATATATTAATATAAACTAATTTATTCTTGTTCAATCCTGTATTATTCAAATTGGTGCTAAGTAATTAATATATATCGCGATAAACTCCTCCTGAATATGTCTATCAACAATAAATAATTTATGTAATTTATCTGCTAAACAGGTACAAAAACTTGTTTTTTGCGTCATTGTTTATTTTTATTTTGTATTTTTTGGATCAAAATCTTTATGATTAATTCACGTGCGTTATTTTCAACTTTTGTGAGGAGAAGAAACTTCTTTCGCACTTTTTTTTTCTCCTATATTATATACGGGAGTCATTCACTTGTATCAATTATATCCAATTAAGGCAATTTATTGTGGATGATTACAAAAAAAAATTTTTCCATTATGTAAATATTTAAAGCTCCTTTTCTCGCCTTTTTATTAAAAAAATATACCATTCTTTTCTTTTATAATTCTTAAATCAGTTAATGATAACATCTTTTACTATATTTTTTTAATAAATATTATATATTAATTAAAAATGCCTAGCTACCAGAACTATGATGATTCTAAAGAAACAGAAGGATTATTACCCAAAATAAAACCTAGAAAGGTTTGTGTTTATTTATACTTTCCAACCCTTGGATTATTTATTTAGAATGAATTTTCATGAATTCTTTTTTTTTTTTTTTTTTTAAAAAAAAGGGAAAGAAAATTACGTTTATAGTTTTTGTGGCAATTTTTATTGTGGTTACATTTACAATTTTAAGCTTTTTTGGTAAGATCTATGAGTTCTTTTTCTTTCTAGCAAATCGCTCGCTCGCTCGCTCGCTCATTCATTCATTCACACTAACTAACATTCAATTACATAGGTAATAATGATGCTAAAAAAGCAAAACGTAATGTGATATTGATGATTTCGGATGGATTTGGACCTGCATCAGAAACATTTGCAAGATCATATTATCAATTCATTAACAATTCACCTTATAAAAAAGTGACACCGTTAGATGAGATTCTTGTTGGATCTTCAAGAACAAGATCTTCCAGCAGTCTTGTCACTGATTCTGCCGCTGGTGCTACTGCTTTCTCGTGTGCACGCAAAACATACAATCTTGCCATAGCGGGTATTTTATAATAATGATTATAGAGAAAAATAATGAATTTTTTTATATATTTTATATATTTTGAACAATTTATTGATTTTTATATATATAGTGGATCCTGAGAAAAACCCATGTGGTACAGTGTTAGAGTCGGCCAAGCATAATGGAATGGTGACCGGGTTGGTGGTGACAAGTCGTATAACACATGCAACACCAGCAGCATTTTCAGCACATTCGGTTCATAGAGATTTAGAATCTGAAATTGCCATCAATCAGATTGGTGATTATCCACTTGGAAGACAGGTTGATTTGATGTTAGGTGGCGGAAGATGTTTCTTTTTGCCAAATAGAAATGAGAGTAGTTGTAGAACTGATGATAGAGATGTGCTAAGTGATGCCACAAATAAATTTGGATTTAATTTTTTGTCAACTAGAAAAGAATTCGACGATCTCAAACCATCCAAACAAGTGTATGTATATCACTACTATTATGGATGAAAGAAATAATATTATTTGTGACATTTAATAAATTTTGATTAATTTAAAATCTATTAATTATTAGACTTCCTCTTTTAGGCCTATTCACCTTAGATGTAGGTCATAATAATAATAATAATAATAATAATAATAATAATAATAATAATGCTTTATTCATAAATACATAAATATATATATTCATAAAAATTGTTTTTAGCATATGTCCTATGAGATTGATCGTGATCCAGCTGAAGAGCCATCTCTAAAAGAAATGGTAGAGAAAGCCATCAAAATTCTTGAAGATGCTACTGCCGATAGTGACAAAGGCTTTTTCTTGATGATTGAAGGAAGTAGAATTGGTAAGTAATAGGTTCTTATAGAATAAATATCTTGGTGATTTTACATTTATACCCCAATGTGTTCATGTCTATTTTTGATTTTTTTCTTTTTAGATATGGCAGCTCATACGTAAGTAAACCATATGCAATTATAATCATAATCCTTTATTTCGGCTAATAACTACACAATTACAATAATAATAACAATTATTATGATTAAAATTATTATTAGGAATGATCCTGCAGCACATGTTCATGAAATTCTTGAATATCATAATACAATTACACATGTTAAACAATATGTTAAAAACCATCCAGGAACCGTGATGATTTCAGTTAGTATTAACTAATTAATTAATTAATAATATTTAAACTATACATCATGCAACATACACATAATACGCTATTTATTTATATATTTCACATTAACATAGGTCAGTGATCATGAAACTGGTGGACTATCACTTGCACGTCAAATTTCCCCCGATTATCCTGTTTACGGATGGTATCCAGACGTGTTGACTAAAGTCAAAAGCTCATCATTTGCTCTCTCAGAAAAAATTGTGAATTATTCGGGGCCTGATCGTACAGAATATATTGAAAAGC